TCAAAAATAAGGAAGGGTTGCAAAAGCAAACCTGGTGGGGTGGTGAGATGAGAGCCTGGAGCTGCTCCCTGACACGTGTCCATTCCCCCGTGGAGCCTGTGCCTGAGTGAACCAGGGCAGTGTGTGGCCCCAGGGATGGCTGGGGATGCTTTCCAGATCTCTTCCTCCTTCCTCCTTCCTCCTCCTCCTTCCTCCTCCCCAGGGCTGCACAGGATGTTGTCAGGGAGCAGAGGATCTCGAGCATCTTCTCTGGAGCTTTTCTGAGCCTGGAAAGAGTTTTAAGTGGGGTTGTCTTCTGTGAGAGGGACATGTTGGGCTCATCTGTGCCCGAGGTAAATCCAGCAGGATTTACCAAGCCCTCTGCAGCTCTGAAGTGTTGTGGAGGGTGGGAACTTCTTTTCCTCAGTAAGCTCAAAAAGCTGCTTCCTAGCCTGAACTGAAAGATGGGGGGGGGAAGCAGGATAAAGCAGGGAGGATGGCAGAGTTTGGATGGCAGCAGCACAGGGCTGGGATCTGCTTGCCCTTCTTGTGTGGTAATAATTAAACAAACGAAGCTGTGTGAGCTCGGGGCACGTGGTCAGTGTGCCCACATGTGGGTGGTTTTCTTGTAATGAAGGAACAGCTCGTTAAAGCTAATTAGCTTGATGATGATTTTGGGATGCACTGGGTAGTGCAGCCAAGAAAGGCTGGTGTTTGCCTTGGGAGGGTCCCGGGGGTTGATGCCACGTTTGGCCCTTTTTGGGGGCAAGTATTCCTTCATCATAGAATCATGGGATGGGTTGGGTGGGAAGGGACATTAAAGATCATCCAGTCCCACCCCCTGCATGGGCAGGGACACCTCCCAGCAGCCCAGGCTGCTCCAAGCCCCATCCAACCTGCCCTTCAACACTGCCAGGGATGGGGCAGCCACAGCTTCCCTGGGCAACCTGGGCCAGGCTCTCACCACCCTCACACCAAAGAATTCCCTCCTCATCTCCAACCTCAATCTCCCTCTTCCACTTTTCATCCATCCCCCTCATCCCATCCCTCCCTGCCCTTATGAAAAGTCTCCTGCCCAGCTTTCCTGGAGAGGTGGTTTGAGCTGCAAATGAGTGGTAGGAAGAGTCAGATCCCTTGGGAACAGACATGGTCATGCCTGGTTTTGCAAGGGGAGAAGATGCACTTCTGGCTTGGCAGGTGTGACTGGGAGCTGTGGCTTGGCCACAGCTTGGCAGGGGAAAGCAGATCCTGATGTTTTCCTCCACCTCCCCAAAAAACACATCCCTGCAGTACCAGGCAAGGAGCTGCTCCCTGGCTTCGTCGGGGGGTAGTGATGCTGGAAAGCATCCCAGCTCTGTTCCTGTGCTGAGGAATCGCTGCTGTGTTGTTCTGCCTCCTTGGTCATGAATTTGCTGGGCCGAGAAAATATTTTCCTTGCACTTCCACCCTTGTGCTCCACCCCGTTGGAAAAGCTGCTTCCAACAGGATGAGGTTTGGGATGGGATTTGGTTGGGGATCGTTCTCTCTGCAGCCGGACGGTCCCGATCCCAGTCCCGATCCCGGTCCCCTCTCCCTGCAGCCAGCCTGGCTTTTTGGTCAACCCCAGGTGACTCTTCCAGCCCCAGCTGGGGATGCCTTTTGTTTGGGTTGCCATGAGGAGCCCAGGGATTATGGGATTTTCCCTGTCTCCTTAATGCAGCTGGAGAGCACGTGGCCCGGAAGGCGCCCCAGTCACGCATGGCTCGGTCCCTTCACCCGACCGTGGCACCCACTGTCCTTCCTCATCTTCCTCACAGCTGGTGGCCAGATTCCCTGTTGATTTTTCCAGGCTTGGAAGGGTTTCCTGTGTCACCAGTTCATTCCATTCTGCCTGTGGTGCTTGCTGATAATTTTAGACAGGGCAGATTTTGCTAAGCTGCAGAGTTCAGATGAGCCCTGGTAAAGCCATGGTGGGGATTATGGTGGTTAATTCAGCACTTGGTGAATTCAGCAGTGATTTATTTTCCCCTTAGATTCAAATCCCACATTTCCAGAATTCCTTGTTTCTCCTAAAAAGTGGGGCTGTGCCTTGGAGCTGGCTCAGCACCCACAGCCAGTCCCTTGAAGGGGGTGACAGTGTCTGGTGGGTCTCGGTTCTGGGGAGCACAGCAGCCTCCATCCCCCCCTCTCCTTCCCATCACATCCCAAAGGAGCTTTTCCAGGCCCTGGCCCAGGTTGCCCAGGGAAGCTGTGGCTGCCCCATCCCTGGCAGTGTTGAAGGGCAGGTTGGATGGGGCTTGGAGCAACCTGGGCTGCTGGGAGGTGTCCCTGCCCATGCAGGGGGGTTGGATCTAGATCATCTTGAAGGTCCTTTCCCACCCAAACCTTTCCATTATTCTGTGATCCACATGACCATCCAGGAGGCACGTTCCACTGCGGGGAAGTGCCCTGGCTCAGCACTCTGATGTCCTGGAACTCTGAGCAAGGACAGACACACCTGCCTGCAGCAAAGCCTGAATTCTTTCTTTTATTCCCCTCCTGGATTCATCTCTTCTCTGCAAACCTTTCCCTGAGATGGACAGAATTCCTCAGTTATCACTTTAAGCTGTTTCCTGGGGCATGTTGACACGATCTGGTGTGATGAGTGGAACACAAAGGGGTGGGTATCATCATCATCTGAAGTTCCTGGTATTTTTTCCACCCCCTCCCCAGCCTGGAAGTGCCTGTGAGTGAAACACCAGGCACAGAGGTGACACCAACCTTTCTCAGACTGCCTGGGGAAGATTGATTTGAGCAACAGACCTGGAACAAATTGCAGCAATATCATCCCTTGGTTGGGAAACTGCTGTGCCTGCCAGCACCAGCCCTGAGGACTTTACTGTTACCTTCCTGGAGTTGCTGGAAGTGTTTCTTATCTCTGGATCCTGACTCTCCTGGTGGTTACAGTGCCCTCCAGTTCCTCCCTCTGCCCCACACACCCTCAACCAGTTGCAAAACCAACCCTTCAAACTCTTTTTCCCTTTCCAGTGATGCAAATTCAGGCAATTTACATCAGAATCTGCTGGGAAGTCTGGTCTGGGAAGCAGAGAACCAGATTGAAATGGAGCCAGCACCGAGGAGCTGACTTAAAAACCTTTAGCAGCAACACCCAGAAAAATGCCTGGGATGTGATGATGGGCTTGGTCTGATGTTAGTCCATTCCTGGAGGGAATCCTGGAGTCACCTCTGTCATCCCCACATCCTCCCTTGGACTGAGCAGTGGGATTCATGTCCCTCTTTCCCCTCCTGAGCAGCAAACCACTGTGGGTTTTTTTGGCCCATCCACTGGGTTTCTCCAGGAATCGTGGCTCCATTTTATATCCCAAATATCCCAGCTAGTGCTGCTGACACCCCAGACCCAGCCTGGGCAGATTCCTCCTTTCTGGGCTGGATCATCTCAACTAAATAGTTTCATTCTTCTCCCCTTGAAGCCTGTTTCCCACATCAATGCTTTTGGGGAGCGTTTGGGCTGGTAGTGGTGTGGAAAACCCCATCCTTGAGGCCACTTTGGCCTGTCTCTTTCCATCAGTTGGATTTCTTCAGGACTCCTCTCGAGGTCTCCTGGGTCTGTGGGGGCTGCTTTGTTAATCCCACTCCCTGCCATGATGTCTCATTCCTCTTAAGTAGCAAAATTAAATCTTGCAGTGATGGGTACAGAGGGAAGAGGCCACCCTGGGGCTCTTTGTCAAGGGTCTCCCCACTCTGGGGAGGGAGGCATCAGCCTGGATTTGCTGGCATATTCTTATTTCTTAATTCCCTTTCATCTCCTTTGCTTTTCTCTTGCAGGAGCAGCAACAAGGCTTTTTGCTGGCTGGGCTCAGGGCAGCAACTGAGCAGTTTGGGGCTATTTCTCTCCCCCTTCTTTTGGCCCAACGTGCTTGAAGTTGAGCTGGTCCTGGAGCCTGGAGTTGCCTCTGGCCAAGAGAGGAAGGAGGGGTTGGTTGTTTGAGGGCTTCTCTTACAATGGAAACATCTACAAAGCAATGTCAACTGCTTTTTTTTTTTTTTGGTTGTTGAAATGTTCTCTCTTGCTGAGCTTTTTTTCCCCTCTGCTTTTAGTGTTGCTCTTGGAAGGACGTGCTGTGGTTTTAACCTGGGGGATGCTCTTGCTCCTGGGGGAAGGGGCTGGGAGGACCTGGTTCTGCTGGGACCATCCCAGCTTTCTTGCTGCTGCACTTTTTTTTGGGTGGAAATCAGTTGGGATCTGCCAGGATTGGAGCAGGGGATGGATATACCTGCACAGAGTTTGTCTGGAAGCTGCAGGATGTTTGTGTCATGCCAGCAGGCTGACTATTTTGGAGGAGCCTCAAGGAACCAGAGATGGGCTAGAGGGAATGTTCTAAGGCATATAATCAGCTTTAACCTCCTGGTGAAAGAGGAGGGGTTCAGTTGTTGGGATCTATAGCCCCAGATCTGTTTGGTGATGCTCATTTCTAAGACTGCAGCAGTCAAGGTGGACTGTATGGGCTGGACAAATGATGTGTGAGGAGCACCTGCTGATTTAACAGTGCTCTGTGTTTGTATTTAATCACTTCTTGATTCTATGAAAATGACAAAGCAGCTGGGGAAAGGGCTGGAGACCAAGGAGAAGGGGCTGGAAAACTTGTGAGGAGCAGCTGAGGGAGCTGGGGGTGTCCAGCCTGGAGCAAAGGAGGCTGAGGGGAGACCTTCTGGCTCTGCAACTGCCTGAGAGGAGGTTGGAGCCAGGGAGGGTCAGGCTCTGCTCCCCAGGAACAAATGATGGGACAAGAGGAAATGGCTTCAAGTTGCCCCAGGGGAGGTTCAGTTTGGATAACTGGAACAATTTCTTCCTGGCAAGGGTTGTCAGGCCCTGGCCCAGGATGCCCAGGGCAGGGGGGGAGTCCCCATCCCTTGGAGGTCTTCAAACAATGTGTGGATGTAACACCTCAGGACACGGTATAGTTGGCATGGTGGTGTTGGGTTAAGGGTTGGACTTGATGATCTTAGAGGGCTTTTCCAACCTGAATGATTCCATGATTCTCTTTCTTTGAACTCCTCAGCAAATCCAGTTTGCAGATGACATGCAGGAGTTCACCAAGTTCCCAACCAAGACGGGCCGTCGGTCCCTGTCCCGTTCCATCTCCCAGTCTTCCACTGACAGCTACAGCTCTGGTAGGTGCTGGGCTCCTTGTCCATGCCTGCTTCTCTCCCAGACCCAGCCTTGGTGCTGCTGGGAATGTCCTGCTCACACCACACATGGGATGTTCCTTGTCCGTGCCTGCTCCTCCCAAACCCAGCCTTGGTGCTGCTGGGAATGTCCTGCTCACACCACACATGGGATGTTCCTTGTCCGTGCCTGCTCCTCTTCCAAATCCAGCCTTGGTGCTCACACTCAGGCATGGAGGGGATTATTTTGGGAGTTCCTGGAGCTCAGGCATTGACTGGGTTGACAGTTAGTGCTGGGTTGTTTTAGGGAGCAAGAGTTTCAAAATTCCTCCTGGATATTGACTTTCCTTTTGAGACTTGTAGTTTGAGCCGTGAGTGTGTGTGAAAGCTGGGAAGCAAAATGGAGCAGAAGCCTGAAGGGTCCTGGGGTAACACAGGTTCCTCTCCTGGCTTCAGCTGCCTCCTACACGGACAGCTCTGATGATGAGGTGTCCCCACGGGAGAAGCAACAAACCAACTCCAAAGGCAGCAGCAACTTCTGTGTGAAGAACATCAAGCAGGCGGAGTTTGGGCGCCGGGAGATCGAGATCGCTGAGCAAGGTAAAAGAGGAGTGGGGGGCTCATGGGTCTAGAGGGTGTGCCCTCTGGAGACCAGGAGCTGGTGATTCCCAGCCTTGGGAATACCCTGAATCAACAGGGTATGTGGGGCAGACACTGCTGGTATGTGGCATCCATTTTCTAAGGGCAGGAGGGCTCGTGCAGGGCTTGATGTTGTGGTGGCTTTGGATGAGAAACCTCTGTGGGTGAGGATCTTGCAATGCCAGAAAACTGGCAGTTCCAGCCCCTTCCCCTGGGAGCTGTGGGGAGCTGAGTTCCCACTTCCAGTGCCCATTTCCAGTGGGGTGATTGGGTAACTTTGCTTTTGGGCTCCTTTTACACTCATGCTGCCAAAACCTTAGAAGGGGAGGCTAATCCAGGCACATTTTGAGCAGCTGTTCTGAGATGTGGCAGCATCTTCTTTAGGTGATTCTCCTTGGTTGCTCTCCAGCTGCAGGACCTGTGGCTTGTCCTCAGCTGGGACACCTCAGGTGTATCCTTGGGCAGTGCTTGTCCCACCTCTCTCTCCTGGTGTGGTCACAAATGACACTGGTGATTTGGTCCCATTTTGGACAGACCTGCCAGGCTGGGATTGAGGAGTTTTCTGTATAATGACTGTGGCAAAAACTGGGGCTGGATGTAGAAGGGAGAGCAGGTCTGGGACAGAGGGGCCTCTGGGCTGAGCCATAAATCGTGGACTGGTTTGGGTTGGAAGGGACCATATCATCCAGTCCCAACCCCCTGCATGGGCAGGGACACCTCCCACCAGCCCAGGTTGCTCCAAGCCCCATCCAACCTGCCCTTCAACACTGCCAAGGATGGGGCAGCCACAGCTTCCCTGGGCAACCTGGGCCAGGCTCTCACCACCCTCACACCAAAGAATTCCCTCCTCATCTCCAACCTCAATCTCCCTTTTCCACTTTTCATCCATCCCCCTCATCCCATCCCTCCCTGCCCTTGCCCCAAGTCCCTCCCCACCTTTCCTGGAGCCCCCTCTCTCAACCCCCCTCTCTTTCCTTTTACAGACATGTCTGCTCTGATTTCACTCAGGAAACGAGCTCAAGGGGAGAAGCCTTTGGCTGGAGCTAAAATCGTGGGCTGTACCCACATTACAGCACAGACAGCAGTGAGTGGCTGCTCTTTTGGGGCTTGGGAGGTGGGAGAGACAATTTTTTTTTACCCCTGGTGAAGCAAATCTGTTCAGTTTCCCAGCCCTGGGGAATGGGAAGAGGCTGGAAACACTTCGGGGAGGTTCTTGCCGCCCAAATTTCCCCAGGGCAGCGATTGCTGGAGCTGATCTCTGATGGGTCCTTCCTGTCCAGGGCTGTGCTTGGTGGCCCTGCCCCGTGCTGGTGTTTGTGCCCATCCCTGCAGCCTCAGGCCTGCCCCTCATCCTCCCCCTGCAGGTGCTGATCGAGACCCTGTGTGCCCTGGGGGCGCAGTGCCGCTGGTCTGCCTGCAACATCTACTCCACCCAGAACGAAGTGGCAGCTGCTTTGGCAGAAGCTGGTGAGTACAGCCAAGCCCTTCCAGCCCCTTCTGGCTCAGGATCGATCCTTCTGCTTGGAAAAGACCTTGAAGATCATCCAGTCCAACCAGATCCCAACTCTACCAAGTCTGTGTCCCTCAGCACCACATCGACACATCTCTGAGGCCCCTCCAGGGATGGGGATTCAACCACCTCCCTGGGCAGCCTCAGTGTTCACTAACCCTTTTAGTGAAGAAGTTTCTTCTCATCTTCAACCTAAACCTCCCCTGGGGCAACTTGAGGCCATTTCCCCTTGTTCTATCACTTGTTCCTTAGGAGAACAAACTGAACCCCCTGGCTCCAACCTCCTCTCAGGCAGTTCCAGAGCCAGAAGGTCTCCTCTCAATCTCCTTTTCTCCAGGCTGAACATCCCCAAGTCCCTTATCTGCTCCTCCTTGTTCTCCAGGCCCTCCTCCTTGTTCTCCAGGCCCTTCCCCAGCTCTGTTGCCCTTCCCTGGACACTCTTCAACTCCTCAATGTCCTTCTTGTCCTGAGGGGCCCAGAACTGACCCCAGGATTTGAGCTGCAGCCTCAGCAGTGCTGAGCACAGGGAGACAATCCCTGCCCTGCTCCTGCTGGCCACACTTTTCCTGACACAAGCCAGGAAGCTGGTGGCCCTCTTGGCCACCTGGGCACTCTGCTGGCTCATATTCAACAGGCTGTCAATCAACACCCCCAGGTCCTTTTCTTCTGAGCAGTTTTCCAGCCCCTTTTCCCCAAGCCTGGACCAATCCCTGGGATTGTTGTGACCAAGGTTCTGCAGCTTTGTCCCAGCTGGCAAGTTTTAAGGGATGATTTGGAGCAAGTATCTTGGAGGGGGAGGGATGAACAGGTCTGATCCTGTGGTGGGTTGTGATTGGATCTCAGCAGGGTCCCTTGGGCTTCCCTGTCTGTGGCTTTCCTGAGTTGGCCAAGCAGGAGAGGGCTCTGCCAAACTCGGAGCAGATGCTCAGATGAAAGGGTTAAAAAATAGAGATGAAATGGTGAAAAGATGCCAAGGATGCTCCTCTTCTTCCAGGTGTTGCTGTGTTTGCCTGGAAGGGGGAGTCGGAGGATGACTTCTGGTGGTGCATTGACCGCTGTGTCAACGTCGATGGCTGGCAGGCCAACATGGTAATAAGGAGCCTTCTTCCAGCCCTTCCTCTTCCTCCTTGGAGTGGTCATTGGGTGCTCCTCACCCTTCCCTCCTTGGGGCTGTTCCTGGGAACCTGCTGGGGCTGCCTGGGCATCTGCAAAGGCCTGTGAGCCCACATGAAAATGTGGGGGTCCTGGGGAATGGTGGCTGGAGCTGGGTTGGGGGCCACTGCAGAGACCATGTCCTGGGTTAGTGCCACCAAATGACATGGGACCATCTCCTGTGGGAGCTGCCAACGAGTCCAGAAGCCATAGGACCTCTTTCCACACAGGGTTGGCCCCATGGAAGCTGCCCCAACCTCTCTGCTGTCAATACAGACCGTGTCCACCAAAGAGACTGAGGTCTCTGCAGGGGACCTTACCTTGCTACCAGCAGATGACTCCTCACACTGCCTGGATGGCCTGGTCCATGGTCACTAATAGGTGACAGCATGTGGCAGTGGGCCCTGACAGCTCCCCCAGCCACCCCTCTCCACTCTGTGCTTGCAGGCCATGAATTTTGTGGCCTCCTTCTGATCTCAGCCTGTTTAGTTAGTGCTGAGACAGCAAACCCTGATTCATCAGCTCCATGCAGGGGGTGGGAAGTCCTCTCTGTTTTGGAGGAGATCCCCAGCTGCTGGCAACCAGGGGAGCCCAGGAGTCCTGGTCCCCAGACCTTGGCCCAAACAGCCCTCCACTACTGCCTGGAGATGCTCTCCATCTCTTTTCCTCATCCTGTCCCCATTGAGGGCTTTTCCCATGGAAGGCCTGAGTGCTCCATGTTCTTCTTTTGCTTATTCTCTAGATCCTGGATGATGGTGGGGACCTGACCCATTGGGTTTATAAGAAATATCCCAACGTATTCAAGAAGATCCGAGGGATTGTGGAGGAGAGTGTGACTGGTGTGCACAGGTAGGAGGTTTGGGACTCATAGAATGTTTAAGGTTGGAAGGGACCTTAAAGATCATCAGGTTCCAATGCTCCTGCTATGAGCAGGGACGCCTCCCACTAGACCAGACTGCACCAGCCCCATCCAACCTGCCCTTCAACACTGCCAGGGATGGGGCAGCCACAGCTTCCCTGGGCAACCTGGGCCAGGCTCTCACCACCCTCACAGCCCAGAATTTCTCCCTCCCATCTCAGCTCCAGCTCCCTCTGCCAGCTGGAAACCCTTCCCCCTGCTCCCATCCCTCCCTGCCCTTGTCCCAAGCCCCTCCCCAGCTTTCCTGGAGCCCCTTCAGGCACTGGAAGCTGCTCTAAGGTCTCCCTGGAGCCTTCTCTTCTCCAGGCTGAACACCCCAGCTCTCTCAGCCTGGCTCCAGAGCAGGGCTGCTCCAGCCCTCAGATCATCTTTGTGGTCCTCTTCTGGACCCTCTCCAACAACTCCATGTCCTTCCTGTGCTGAGGGCTCCAGACCTGTGCACACTACTCCAGGTGGGGTCTCACCAGAGCAGAGGAGGAGAACCACCTCCCTCACCCTTGGGAAGCCTGATCTGGAGATCTCCTGGGTTGCTGCTCTTAGCTCTGACCTGTCCTTGTCCTCCTCCAGGCTGTACCAGCTCTCCAAGGCTGGAAAACTTTGTGTCCCAGCCATGAACGTCAACGACTCAGTGACCAAACAGAAGTTTGACAACCTGTATTGCTGCCGGGAATCCATCCTGGATGGGTGAGTCCAACCTTCCTCCCCATCCCTGGGTGAATTTTCCCACTGGTGGAAGTGGCTCTGGTTCCTCTGGAGCAGAGACCAGGCTCTTTGCTGCTTTGTCCTCACTGTGTGTTTGCAGGAGCTGTTTTTGGGGGGGCTCTGGGACCTCTGTGCGCTTGACTAATCCCAACACAGGTCTCTCTCTGTCCCCCAGCCTGAAGAGGACCACGGATGTGATGTTTGGAGGGAAGCAAGTGGTGGTTTGTGGTTATGGGGAGGTGAGTTTTGGAAGCTGCAGTTGGTGGAGGTGTGAGTCACACAATCGTTCTGGTTGAAAAAGTCCTTGAGGATCAATCCAGAGAGGAAGGACTTGGGGGTGTTGGGTGATGAGAAGCTCAATGTGAGCTGGCACCACGTGCTGGAGCCCAGAAACCACCCGTGTCCTGGGCTGTGTCACCCAGGGAGGGGATTGTCCCCTCTGCGCTGGTGAAACCCCCCTGCAGGGCTGGGTCCAGTTCTGCAGCTCCCAACACAAGGACGTGGAGCTCCTGGAGAGAGTCCAGAGGAGCCACAGCGATGTTGGGAGGGCTGGAGCAGCTCTGCTCTGGAGCCAGGCTGGGAGAGTTGGGGTGTTCAGCCTGGAGAAGAGAAGGCTCCAGGGAGACCTTAGAGCAGCTTCCAGTGCCTGAAGGGGCTCCAGGAAAGCTGGGGAGGGACTTGAGACAAGGGCAGGGAGGGATGGGATGAGGGGGATCGATGAAAAGTGGAAGAGGGAGATGGAGGTTGGAGATGAGGAGGGAATTCTTTGGTGTGAGGGTGGTGAGAGCCTGCCCCAGGTTGCCCTGGGAAGCTGTGGCTGCCCCATCCCTGGGGGTGTTGAGGGGCGGGTTGGATGGGGCGTGGAGCAGCCTGGGCTGGTGGGAGGTGTCCCTGCCCAGGCAGGGTTGGATCTGGATGAAGATCCCTTCCAACCCAAACCAGTCCATGATTTATGGCTCAGTCCAGAGAGGCCCCTTTCTGCCAGACCTGCTCTCCCTTTTGGGGTCTCCCAGGCTACATCCAGCTCCAGATTTTGCTACAGTCCAACCATAAAAAATACACAGACTCCTCCAACACAAGAAGCAACAGCCCCAGTCAGTGCCACGGGCAGCATCCACCTTGGGCTGGAGCACAAAGATAAACTGGGGGGGTTTGATATTTGTATAGTGAAGCACATGCCAAGATTGGGCCTTTTTGGGGTCTTTGATCAAGAATAGGAAAACTTCCATGATCAGGGCTCCCTAAAGTTGAAAGGGAACTAAAAAACATTCAAGATTGAGATTCCCAGTATGGCACAAAGGGAAGAAGCCTAAACCAGTACAAGATTTGAGCCAGGCACCTGAATTTAACTATTTTAACTATGAATTGATTGAAACAATTTCACCTGCTCTGGTGTCATCAAGATGAAACAAGGGTCACCCTCCCCCCAGGCTCAGCCCTTGTGCAAAGACCACGTGCCCTTGAGAGAAGAGTGGATCAAACCTGGTGAGATCTTGCAAGAAGCTGCTGGGAGGCTGGAGAACAAGCACCAGCTTTCCCAGTTTACCTGCAGATTAGCTGGGCTGCAAAACACAACAGTTGCTGGGAGAACTGGCCTGAATTAGAACTACCCATGGGTGCTCCCATCTGCTGTCCCTGGATTGGGTTCAGCTTCCAGCCTGGTTGTCACTGAGCCTGGGACAGAGGAGGTGGAGGAACAGGCTGCATCTCCCTGGTGGATAATGCTCTGGCAGAGGGGAAATCAATTCACCAGCTTGTAAATGATCCTGGCCTGGAAGAGCAAGGAGCTGGGAACTGCCACCTTCCCTCCATCTGTGCTCTGTCTGCTGGGTGTTTATCTTCCCGTGCTGTGAAGGGTCTGGCAGTAGCTGTAAATGCTCTTCCCAGCAGGAATTTGCTTGATTTAATTAGACACCAGTAGATACCAGCTCTGCTGGACCAAGAGCTTGTCCTGGCTCCCACCCAGGTGCTCCAGGGTGGTGTCTGGATCTCCAGCCATGAGTTGTGCTGGGGGTTGGGAGTTTCTAGAGCCTGTCCTGAGTTTTACTGGACTCCTTCAAAACAAGGCAATCCTTTCACCCTCACTTCTTGCCCCTTTGGATGTGGGTTGGAGGCCCTGGTGGCTGTTTTCAGTAAACCTGAGGCTGGAGCTGGGTGGTAGCTGAACATCTGGAGATGTTTCTTGCTGCTCAGGAGATGGGGCTGAGTGTGGGGATGTGCAGCTTAGCCAGGTGCCTGTGGGTGAAGTGGTGTGGAGAACTGCAGTTCCATTCTGTAGTGAGGAGAGGGACAGTCAGAGATGGTGTCACAGGAGCTTTGCTTTTCCCTGTGCTGATGAGGGGAGTGTGGGACAGAGGACCTGTCCCCCAGTCAGTGCAGGACAGCTCTGAATGCCAAAGGAACCTTTTTGTTTAAAGGAAGGTGTAAGAAGTTGTGAAGCCCCATCCCTGGCAGTGTTGAAGGGCAGGTTGGATGGGGCTTGGAGCAACCTGGGCTGATGGGAGGTGTCCCTGCCCATGCAGGGGGTTGGATCTAGATCATCTTGAAGGTCCCTTCCCACCCAAACCATTCCATGATTCTATGAAGTTCTTGCTCATCCATAGTGGGTTTAATCTCTTGGATAAGAGCTCAGAAGGGCTCCTGGGATGCTGGGGGCTGTGCAGGATGCAAGATGTTGAGTTTGGAAAGCTCCTGCCAACTGGTGGCCCTGCTGGAGGGCTGGTGGCCCTGGAGTGAGAGCTGCTCCTGGCATCAGGCAGGTGGCTGGGCTGAGCATCTCCTATCCCGGGCCTCCTTGGGGCTGTTTTAGGGGGGGATTGGGGTGCTGGGTTTGTCCTGTGTTTGTCTTCACCCCAACACTTTGCATTTGCAGGTTGGCAAGGGCTGCTGTGCTGCTCTGAAGGCCCTGGGAGCCATTGTCTATGTCACAGAGATTGACCCCATCTGTGCTCTCCAGGCTTGGTAAGATGTGCCCTGGAGCTGGAGAGCATCTCTTTGGGCCTCCTTCAGGGGAGTGGGTGAAAACTGGAAGAGGAGAGATTTAGGATGGACATAAGGAGGGAATTCTTTGGTGTGAGGGTGGTGAGAGCCTGGCCCAGGTTGCCCAGGGAAGCTGTGGCTGCCCCATCCCTGGGGGTGTTGAAGGGCAGGTTGGATGGGGCTTGGAGCAGCCTGGGCTGCTGGGAGGTGTCCCTGCCCATGCAGGGGGTTGGATCTAGATGATCTTGAAGGTCCCTTCCCACCCAAACCATTCAATGATTTTGTGATTTAAGCCCTGACAGAGACTAAAACATTGAGAAGGATCTGTGCCCCATCTTGGAGAACATGGGGAAGGGCTGGGGCAGCTTTCAGGGCTGTGGGGCACCAGGTGGTAGATACCTGCACTGGCTTCCTTTGGGAAAGCTGCTTGGGGTTGGATCAATGCTCCAGACCTTCCCTAGCTCCTCCAAGATTCCTGAGAGCAGGTTTGACTTTGCATCCTTTGCACAGCCCATCCTCATGTCTGGTGTCCCTGGGGGTGTGGAAGGATGGCCTGGCTGCTGGGGGAGCAGGTTTGGGCAGAGAGGGGACAGGCTTCTCCTCCTCACCTTGGTCCCTGTCTCCTTCTTCCTGCCAGCATGGATGGATTTCGGGTGGTGAAGCTGAGTGAAGTGATCCGCCAGGTGGATGTTGTCATCACCTGCACAGGTAAGGCTGGAGAAGGTCTTGGGTGAGACTTTGAGAAGGTGCAGTTGTTCCCAAGTGGGTGTCTCGAGGGCTTTGGGGGTGGAGGAGCTTTTTCTCCTTCCTCTTAGTCTGCTGTTTGGCCACACTTCTCCACCCCTGGGAGGAGGGACATGACAGCCATGTGTCCCAAGTCTGACATGTAGACAGGAGGGAATTCTTTGGTGTGAGGGTGGTGAGAGCCTGGCCCAGGTTGCCCAGGGAAGCTGTGGCTGCCCCATCCCTGGCAGTGTTGAAGGGCAGGTTGGATGGGGCTTGGAGCAACCTGGGCTGGTGGGAAGTGTCCCTGCCCATGCCAGGGGGGTTGGATCTAGATGAATTTTGAGTTATCTTCCAACTCAAACCATTCAAGTCTGCTCTGGTGTCTTCTGGCTAATTAATGGGACCAAAGATCAGCTCTCATCTCATGTGTCCCTCTGTCATCACAGCCAGGAGGGCTCTTATCCTGCTGGCAGTTCATCTGGTGTTGCCCCAAGCTGAGCTTCTCTGGCTCAAGTGCAGGGAAGAAGCTGGGGGGGAGGTGTTATATTTCCACTGCCTTGGGCTCAGCTGTGCCCTCTCCCCAGGGAACAAGAACGTGGTGACCAGAGAGCACCTGGATCGGATGAAGAACAGCTGCATCGTGTGCAACATGGGCCACTCCAACACCGAGATCGACGTGGTGAGTCCTGGTTGCCCACATCACCCTTCCTTCTGCCGTGGCTCTAGCCTCCCCTTCCTCCTGCCATGCCTCCAGCTTCCTCTTCCTCCTGCCATGGCTCCCGCCTCCCCTTCCTCCTGCCATGCCTCCAGCTTCCTCTTCCTCCTGCCATGGCTCCCGCCTCCCCTTCCTCCTGCCATGCCTCCAGCTTCCTCTTCCTCCTGCCATGGCTCCCGCCTCCCCTTCCTCCTGCCATGCCTCCAGCTTCCTCTTCCTCCTGCCATGGCTCCCGCCTCCCCTTCCTCCTGCCATGCCTCCAGCTTCCTCTTCCTCCTGCCATGGCTCCCGCCTCCCCTTCCTCCTGCCATGCCTCCAGCTTCCTCTTCCTCCTGCCATGGCTCCCGCCTCCCCTTCCTCCTGCCATGCCTCCAGCTTCCTCTTCCTCCTGCCATGGCTCCCGCCTCCCCTTCCTCCTGCCATGCCTCCAGCTTCCTCTTCCTCCTGCCATGGCTCCCGCCTCCCCTTCCTCCTGCCATGCCTCCAGCTTCCTCTTCCTCCTGCCATGGCTCCCGCCTCCCCTTCCTCCTGCCATGCCTCCAGCTTCCTCTTCCTCCTGCCATGGCTCCCGCCTCCCCTTCCTCCTGCCATGCCTCCAGCTTCCTCTTCCTCCTGCCATGGCTCCCGCCTCCCCTTCCTCCTGCCATGCCTCCAGCTTCCTCTTCCTCCTGCCATGGCTCCCGCCTCCCCTTCCTCCTGCCATGCCTCCAGCTTCCTCTTCCTCCTGCCATGGCTCCCGCCTCCCCTTCCTCCTGCCATGCCTCCAGCTTCCTCTTCCTCCTGCCATGGCTCCCGCCTCCCCTTCCTCCTGCCATGCCTCCAGCTTCCTCTTCCTCCTGCCATGGCTCCCGCCTCCCCTTCCTCCTGCCATGCCTCCAGCTTCCTCTTCCTCCTGCCATGGCTCCCGCCTCCCCTTCCTCCTGCCATGCCTCCAGCTTCCTCTTCCTCCTGCCATGGCTGCAGCCTCCTCTTCCTCCTGCCATGACCCAGCCTCCTCTTCCTCCTGCTCTTGCAGACCAGCCTCAGGACCCCCGAGCTGACCTGGGAGCGGGTCCGTTCCCAAGTGGATCACGTCATCTGGCCGGACGGGAAGCGGGTGGTGCTGCTGGCTGAGGTGTGTTGGGACCTGGGGCACCACCTGGTTTTGGGCCTCTCCAGGGTTCAACCAGGTGGAAAGGGGTGGTGGGAGGAGGTTCCCATGCCTGGGGGGAGGTTCAGAGCTTGGGAAAGGATTTCCTGGTTTGTTTTCCCTTTTTGGAGGCAGGGGAAGTGTCAGGTACCACGTGCAGCTGTGGAGGTGACATCTGTCTCTGTTCTTCTAAGCCAGCAAGTGGTCCTGGTTTTGGCAGGGTTTCCCACCCAGCAAACTCACTGGGAGTCTCCTCTTCCCACCTGAGCATTCCTGACAGTGGGAGGGACTGGCTCTTTCCAGGGATCACAATATTTCCCTGCCTTAAATCGAAGGGTTGGAAACTGAGGCAGAGTTTGAGCCCTCTGGTCATCTAGGTAGCCTTTGAATCACTGTGCTCTGGTTGTCCCTTGCCCCAGGGAGGGGGTAGAGGTGGATCCTGTCTGGGTACTCAATTCAGTTTGGCTGTGGGGACAAGTTCAGCTCTCTCCAAACTCCTCCTGCTGTCTCCTAGGGTCGTCTTCTCAACCTGAGCTGCTCCACAGTTCCCACCTTTGTCCTCTCCATCACGGCCACCACTCAGGTCTGTACACTGCAGGGTCAGGGTGGGAGGGGTGGGAGATGCTCTGAGGCCTTGGCATGAGCCTCAGGGGGGGGTTGGTTTGGAAGAAGCTGGGAAAATACAGTTGGATAGGTCCTTGGGATGGCACTGGTGCCAGAGATAGTGGCACCAGCTCTTGGCTGGGATGAAGTTAATGATGGTGGGAACTTAACTGTGCTTTGGTAACAGCTTTGAAATGAGCCAGAGCTCATGGCAGAGCTCCTGGAGCCACAGCAGAGCTCCCCTAACACAGGACTGAGCTGACCTCAGAGTCAGGCTTGGGACTCTTGATTACCTATCATAGAATCATGGGATGGTTTGGGTGGGAAGGCACCTTCAAGATCATCTAGATCCAACCCCCTGCATGGGCAGGGACACCTCCCACCAGCCCAGGCTGCTCCAAGCCCCATCCAACCTGCCCTTCAACACTGCCAGGGATGGGGCAGCCACAGCTTCCCTGGGCAACCTGGGCCAGGGTCTCACCCATGCATGTGGTGACAGCTGGAAGAGATGACAGACATGGTCCAAGCCATTGAACAGGATTTTCAGTATTTAGGGAAATGGACCTTGTGATCCTCTTTCTAAGGAGGCAAGGACACCTCAAAGAACATACCTGACTATTGTCTTCAGGTGTTGAGCCTGCAGGAAGCTACTCAGAATCCCAAGCAGTTGCTGTCTTCTGAAGCCCTAAGTTGCTGCACTGTGTGAACATCTTGGCATTTTTCAAGAGGTCCAAGATATTAATGAGTTCTCTTCCCAGCAAGGACTGAACTCAGCTCCTGTTCTGGTTAAGCCCAGATGCTGCAGATGACCTGGGTGGCAGCTCCTCTCCCAGCTCTCTGCTCCTCTCCCCAGTGCAGGTGGGATCATGGAAAGGGATGTAACCAGAGAGGGATCATTTCAAGGCATTTTGGACGTGCTGCCCCCCCCTCCCTCAGGCTCCCAATTCCTCATTTTCACTGCCCAGAGCTGGGGGCTCTGAGGAGGGTGTTGAGCACTGCCCAGAGCTCGGGGATGTCCCTGAGTGTCCCCTGTCACCCCTGCAGGCTCTGGCTCTGATTGAGCTCTACAACGCCCCCGAGGGCCGGTACAAGCAGGACGTGTATCTGCTGCCCAAGAAGATGGGTGAGTGAAGGGACCCAGACTGGCTGGGCCAGTGGTTGTGGATGTGAGGAGAAACTCAAAACCTGGGCTGCAAAAAACCTGCCAGAGAGAGGATGAGTTCAGGGCAGCTGAGGCAGCAACCTTAGAACACATACAGGGAGCCCCACAGCCTTATCCCACAGCCTTCCTGCTCAGAGGTTATTCAGAGAATGATGGGATGGTTTGGGTTGGAAGGGACCTTCAAGATCATCCAGTTCCAACCCCCCTGCATGGGCAGGGACACCTCCCACCAGCCCAGGCTGCACAAGCCTCATCCAACCTGCCCTTGAACATCTCCAGGGAGGGGGCATCAACAACCTTCCTGGGTAACCTGTTCCACCACCTTCCTACCCTCATGGTGAAGAATTTCCTCCTGATGTCTGACCTCAATCTCCCCTCTTTCAGTTTAAAACCATCACTCCTTGTCCTATCACTGCTCTCCTTGGTCCCAAGTCCCTCCCCAGCTTTCCTGGAGCCCCTTCAGGCACTGGAAGCTGCTCTAAGGTCTCCCTGGAGCCTTCTCTTCTCCAGGCTGAACACCCCAGCTCTCTCAGCCTGGCTCCAGAGCAGAGCTGCTCCAGCCCTCCCATCCCTGTGGCTTCTCTTGGCTCCCTCCAGAAGCTCCATGTCCTACATATGTTGGGACTCCAGCAACCCCTTTTCCTTCACTGCACATCCAGCCCTGCTCAGCACAACACCTTGTGCTGAGCTCTTCTTTAGACTTCCCTGCAGGTGAACCCCTCATGCTAGGACTGCCCAGCCAGACCCAGCCTGGTGCCCTGGCCCTTTTCCTACCACATGATGAGCCCACCCCTCATCTCCCAGCAGCACAGTGAGGACTGTACCTCCCCCTGACCCCCCCTTTCCTCTCCCCCTTCCCAGATGAGTACGTTGCCAGTTTGCATCTGCCTTCCTTTGATGCCCACCTGACAGAGCTGACGGATGATCAGGCCAAGTACCTGGGACTCAACAAAAACGGGCCTTTCAAACCCAATTACTACAGGTCAGTGCTGCCCAGAGCAGGGAGCCCTTGCTGGGGACATCTCCTTACACTTGGGGACCAGGAGCTGTGTCCCCAGCCTCACTGTCCCCTCCCTTCTCTTCTAGATACTGAGGGACCACACCCACTGAAGGACCAGACCACACAAGGCAACATTAGAGAGATTCTTTTTAAAGATCACTTTTATTTCAGTTTACCTCTTCTTTTTTTTTTTTTTTTGTTTGCTTTTCTTTTCGAAACCAACAGAGGAACCTGGTTTGACGTTTGTCCACGTGATTTTTAAGGTCACTTGGGGGTTGGTTTTGTTTTTCCTTTCACCCTTTGGGACCTGATCACATCTGTCTGATCTTGGCAGACAACCTGGGCTTCGCTTCTTGCTTTCATCTGCCTGAAGCCACTGGTGGCTCCCAACCCTGGTTCCTGGAGAGGGTTTTTCCCTTTCCTGCTATTCCCAGGGGCCACTTCATTCCTTTTCCTGCTACCACCTTTTTATTTTCAATTATTATTTTCTTTTGGGTTGTTTGGTTTTTTTCCCCACCTCTCCAACCCGTGTTAGTCTCAACCAGGATCCCTGAGGATCCAGAGATGCCTGTTTGTTTGGGTTTTTTTTTTACCTTTCTGTTTCTTTCTTTGTGTGGATTCTCTGCAACTTCTAAATTGCCTTAAAAGAGCCCAGTTTTAGCTGCTAGATCCGTGCTCCTAGAGCTGCTCGGGAGCAGAGTGGCACCTGCTGGCCACCTCGCGAATAGGTGACTGTCCCCAAGCCCTGCCGAGGTCCCTGTGCCCCGAGGTGGCCCAGATTTGGTGGCCACTGGCCCAGGTTTGATGGGGGGACTTCACTGTTTCAGGGTGCTAATCTGAATTTGGACGGGGGTCGCTTACCCAGCATTATCCTCATCTCTCCTAGGTTGGTTGGGTTTTTTTTTGGTTGGGTTTTGTTTTGGTTTTTTGTTTTTTTTTTTTTTTTAGCCAAACTGCACCTTAATTAGTTAAAACAATTTTTTGTTGTTGTTGGTTGGTTTTTCCTCTTTTTTTTCCTTGTTGTTTCTTAAAGAGATGTTTTAAAGGGAGGGGGAAACCTGGGGGATGTGGCTCCCTGCACCTGAGCAGCCCCATCTCCCAACCCAGAAGCAGGGGGGGGGGAGTTTGAAGGGTGGCTGAGGGAGTTTTGGGGGTGATGTTTCCCTTTTTGCTTGGAGTTGGATGCAGAGATGAACCTTCCCCAACACCCCACCCTCTGTTCCACCCTCTGCTCCCCCCTCTGCTCCCCTGGCCCTCCAGCCCTTCCCTGTCCTCCCCTCAGCCCCTTTCAGCCACCCTTGTCACCTCCTTCATCCCCTTCCTGTGACACATTTTCACTTTGCCATCCCTTCTGCTCCCCCCCCTTCTCCCCCAGCCCTTCCCTCTCCTCCCCTCAGCACCTTCCATCACCTCCTTCATTCCCTTCCTATCACACCTTTCACTTTGCCATCTCTTTCAGCTTCTCCTGGGATTGGGGGAAAAAGCTCCTTTGCAACCCAACGAGCTTTCTCTTGGCTTTTTTTTTTTTACCCTCCCTCAAATTGCTTCTTTACCCCCAGAGCACGGAGGGAAGGAGGATCTCCTGGTACCTGGATCATGGAGGTGTCACGGTACCCGTGCCTGGGGCTGCTCCTTCCCCACAGCCCAGGGATGCCTTGTAGGTGCTGCTCCCTCCCTGGGGCTGTGCAGGGTCTGGGGGTCCTGCTGCTTCCCTGGAGAAGCTGCAAAACTCCTTCCTGGGGATGGGAGGAAGATGGGAGGGCAGCTGGTGGCTTTGCTCACCCTCCTTTTTTCCTCCTCCTTCCATCATCCTGCTCCCTCCCCGCTCTCCTCCTGGGCTGTCTCTTGCTCTCCCCACTGATTTTTGGGGGGTCACCTGCCTCACAGGGACCCTGCCACCCTCCCTCCAACTTCATGGGGGACTAATGTGAGCTGGGATGGGAGAAGGAGAGTTTTTACCCCCCCTTTTCCATCCCTGTTAGGGTCAAACCTTGGCATTTAAGGGCTCCATCTCTGTCTAAGCCATGTTGGGGGGTTGGGGGGAGCCCAAGGGGGGGGGTGATTGGCAGCGTTGGGAGGGGAGAGGTTTATTTTGTATATGAATGATTTTTAATGAATGCAATATTAATCCTTGCAGATGAGCAATAAATCATTAAAAAGTCTAATTAAAGTATTAGGAAAAAAAAAACACAAACCACAACCAAGCCCTGCTGCTTGTGGGCAGTTTGTTTGGGGGGGAGAGGGAGTGAATGAAATCCTGTGGGTGCACTGAGGTTGTGGGTCTTGGAACCTACCTTTGGCCACCTGGAGATGGGCTCTGGGGCCAACTGGGACCTCCTGGGCATCTCCAGGTCCCTGGGAGCAGCTCCAGCAAGTCTGTGAGCACCTCCAGGTCCTTGTGAGCATCTCCAAGTCCCTGTGAGCATCTCCAGGACTCTCTGAGCAGCATCTCTAGGTCCCTGGGAGCATCTCCAGCAAGTCTGTGAGCAGCTCCAGGTCCCTATGAGCAGCTCCAGCAAGTCTGTGAGCATCTCCAGGTCCCTGGGAGCATCTCCAGCAAGTCTGTGAGCAGCTCCAGGTCCCTATGAGCATCTCCAAGTCCCTGTGAGCAGCTCCAGGACTCTCTGAGCAGCATCTCCAGGTCCCTGGGAGCATCTCCAGCAAGTCTGGGAGCATCTCCAGGTCCCTGGGAGCATCTCCAGGTCCCTGGGAGCAGCTCCAGGTCCCTGGGAGCAGCTCCAGGTCCCTGGGAGCAGCTCCAGGACTCTCTGAGCAGCATTTCCAGGTCCCTGTGAGCATCTCCATGTCCCTGGGAGCATCTCCATGTCCCTGGGAGCATCTCCAGGTCCCTGGGAGCAGCTCCAGGACCCTCCATTTGTGCTCTAAGCCCCTCCTAGCCCTTTCACTGGGGTCTCTCGGGTTCTGGGGTTGGATTCAAACCGCTTTCCAACCCTCCTGGGGCTCTGAACCCCCTTCCCAAGCCCCCTGATGTGCAGCCCCCACCCCCCCTCCCAGGCCCCT